TCTTCCTCCTCCTCCTCCTCCTCCTCCTCCTCTTCTTCTTCTTCTTCTTCTTCTTCTTCTTCTTCTTCTTCTTCTTCTTCTTCTTCTTCTTCTTCTTCTTCTTCTGATAGGGTTTCACTGTGCAGTTCAGGCTTGCCTTGAACTCACTATGTAGACCAAAAATCCCCTTTGTCAGCCTCCCAAGTGCTGGGATTACAGGTGTGGGCCACCATGCCTGGCTGGACATTTTTATTCTATAGAAATTTGGGGGCAACTACACAAAGATGTACAGAGAAATGAAAAATAGAGTGTCAATTAAGTGTCCATTATTAGAAGAATATCATGATACAGCACTTTATATATCATGCAACCATTTGAAAGAATAAAGCCAAGCTCTATGTTCTGTCATGAATGAATGCTCGTGATTACTATGGACTTATTGAATGTGAGTTGGAGAAGAATATTGTCTTATTTACTTTTCGCATTGTTGAGACAAAATACCCGACACCTCAGATTAAAGAAAGGTTTATTTTTGGCTCATAATTTGTAGAGGTTTCAGTCCCCAATTGGCTGGCTCCAAGATAGGGTGGCATGACAGAGGTACATGGCAGAGGAGATACAGTCCAGGCAAGGTAGACAGAAGGTAGCAGTAGCAGCAGCAGCAGCAGCAGCGGCAAGTCTTCTTTCTGTCCCTTATATTTCATCCATGCCACTGGCCCTTTGGGCAGGTAGCACTCACACCCAGAATGGGGTATCCTTAATCCTAGCATCACATACCCTAAATACAACCACTTCTGAAAAGCCCCACCTATGCATGCATGAAGCTTTGGGGAGACATCTAGATACAAGCCATAACAAATACGTTTAGTATGTTCCATTTATGTTTAGTAAAAACACAAAATGTATGCATTTCAATTGTAATACAGAGAAACTGTCCATTAGAAGAGATTAGCTACAGAATGGGCTTGAACATGAGTGGGGAGGGGTGACACTGCTTTAAATTTTTTTCTTTGATGTGCTGACAAACCTGCCTCACATATGATACTCTACAACTGAGGTATACCTCCAGGACAAGATTTTGCTTTTTAAAAACTTTTAAAATAATTTTTTCTATTAACATGTGCTATTTGTTAAGAAAATACACATTTCTAACAACAATCAGCACTTGTACCCTGCACTGATTTCAGTTAACTGAATCAAGTCTGTTTGGATGAAGACTTACCTTTCTTCTTTTCAAGGATCATGTATTGTTCTGTGTTGTTCTCATTTTACCCATCCCATACACCCATCTCTTATCTAGGCACCTCAATGAAATTAAATAGAAGAAGCAATGAATAGGAATAAACCACGTAGTTTCAACATAATTTGTTCCAAAAAAGTTATTTCTTTCTGTGACCTCTGACTAAATGATCTCATTTAAACATAATGGGAGGCCAGGGATTTAGCTCACTGGTGCTGTGCTGCGCCTGCCTGTTAAGCACAAGGTAACGGTGTGTGTGTGTGTGTGTGTGTGTGTGTGTGTGTGTGTGTTTGTGTGTGAACATAATGAGGACAGAAACATGACATATGGAGTCTCTTGGTCTGGAATTTAGTTCTAACCCTAACCAGACCTGAGATCTTGGCAGATCATAAACTCTCTGGATTCTCTGAACCTGTTTCCATACCCATCAAATGAACAAACATTTGCTTTCCTGAGCCTTACTAGGGTAGTTGTGAGGGTCTAAAGAGACTGGGGAGGAGGGCAATAGATTTTTGTCAGAAGTGTTGAAAATTTGAGTGTGCTATCATTTGGAGAAGGTGGTTGAACTTATCAATCTGACCTGAATTATCAGTTGCTATTTCCAGGGCCTAAGATTTGCCCAGTTTTTCCCCAGATCCTCTGGTCAAACCACAATAAGGGTAAAGAGCCTGGCTCTAACCAGAAGCCCAGAAAGAGATAAAATGGGAAGCAAGAGCAGGTGTTGTGTGCTTACTATAGGCTAGGTAGTGATTTATATATGTTACCTTATTTAATCCTCACAAGTCTGTAATTTGGCTATCTCAGGTTAGAATTACTGATCAGAAAACTCAAGAATAAAAAATGTATAAGATAGATGTGAAACTTCACTCATTGACTCATGTGATAAGAGTACTAAGTACCAGACAATACAGTTATGAACATAAAGTAGACATCCCTGCTCTCCTGGGATGCACCTCCAACAAGGATTGGAATTGAATTCTCCCCTCATTCCCTTTTACAGCACTCAGCTCTGCCTCTAAGTTTTGGCACCTTCCTGCCCCAATTTTCCCAGGCTGTTCACTTTAAATCCCTATGAAGGTCCCAGAGCACTGACACCCTTTCTTTTCTTCCCCTGGGCCTGACATTCTAGAGTATCCAAGAGTAGTTTATTTAAACCATTTTTTCCCTTCCCAGTGTGTGATTATTTGAATAGAGAAAGCCTCCAGGAACTTTCATTCCCAGATGAGTCAGCTGTCATCACATTACCTAATGCTCAACTAGGGCAGGTTCAGAAGGTGTAGTCAGTGAAAATGCCTAGACTCACAGCTTTGGAACTCGAGGTCGCTGGGAGCCAGGGGCTGCCCAAGTTTCCACAACCATTGCCAAGTCTCCACTTGCTCACAACCACTAGAGAACAGGACAGGGCAGTCTTTAACAGTACCATTTTAGAAGAGGCCGAAATTTCTGGGAAAGGACTCCTTTTCAATTTTTCTCAATGAGCGCTTTCCCTATGTGTGGCGTGAATAGGCCACTAGGGGCAGAATAGTACGGGGAGAGAGGAGAAGAAATGGAGACAACACAGTACTGGCTGGAGAAAGGTGGATGAGAAAAATGTTTAATAGAAGGGGCCGCACAGACATGGGTTCTTGCCAACCACCTAGGTTCTCAAGTAACGTCCCAACACTGAAACCTTTCCTTGTGCCCAGGTAAAGATCAAAAGGATGATAAACTGGCCTTACCAAGAATCAAGACATGGTTAATAAAGTAAATAGAATATGTGGTACAAGTGCTGCCAAGCAAGTGTTGCTTTGCTTAGAAGCAATGCTGTATATGCTAAAGGTTACTCACCCTACGCTGCCTTTTTCAGTAAACTTTCTTGTTTGTAAACTTGTAAGGAAGTATATCCAATCACCATATGGCAGAAAATGAGTACACAAAAGTTTACTGCCCCTTTGTGTTGCTCTTCAATCCCTGAATCCTCAAGACAATTTGTTGTGTTTTTTTTTTTCTAGCTGCAGCTGCTTCTTTTGAACCAGTCCCAACTCTGCCCGGATATGTTCCCTATACCCATTCCCTCAAGGTATTCTTGACTCAGAAGTTACTCCTAGACTCAGCAGTACACAGACAAGTCTTCAGATCATTTCCTGTCACCAAGGCACTTTTTTTCTTTTAAAGTTATTTCCTGGTGTCTCCCTACAAACATCTAAAGTTTAATATCTTAAATCAACTCACCACATTTTTCTTTCCTTCTTCCCAAAGTAAAATATCCTGCAACCACTCCATATTTATATTTATTTCTTTGTAGGTACTCAATTTATTATTTTGAAAACTGGAAATTAAGAATTAGGTTTCTGCCTCTCTTATGTGAACTATACAACAAGGTAACTGAACAGTAGATAAGGGTGGGGTTCTTTTAGAGAAGTGTTTCACTAATGAGTAAGAAGGAATAATAAAGTAGGCTAGTGGGTGTAGATAATGATTATCAATGCTGCCAACATGACAAAATAGAAGCAACCTAATGTTACATGACCAAATATATAGTACCACTTATGAATTAATCTTGATAAAATATGAACCTGAATCTGATTAAACTTCTAGATCTAAATTATAGGAAATACAGGGGACATAGTATGCTATAGGAATGCAATCAGAAAAACAGATGTGGAAAATCTACAGGACAAAGAAGATTCATGAAAGAATTTCAAGGAAACATACAGAGAGGTATGGGGAAGCTACAGGCTAGAAGAGATCTAGAGGCATGCCAACCTAACACCTGACCCTTATTTTCATCAGATACAAACAAATATGCTATAAAAAATTTATGAACAACAGGAAAATGTGGACGTTGACTAGATCTTTTATGGTACTAAGGAATTATTTTTGAAGTAGGTATTATGATTATTTATTTTTTTAAAAGAATCTTTAGCATTTGAGATACATATGGATTTCCTTCAAAATAATCCATTGGATCATGGTTGAGAGAACAAATAATGCACAATTGGTCATGAGTAGATAATTGTTTAAACTGGGTGATAGGTTGATGAGAGTTCATTAGACTGTTTACTTTTACAAATAATTAAAATTTCCACAAGTAAATGACAAAAGAATTGTAAGGTAGCAACTGGATGAATGGACATGGAATGTAAACTTTTCAATCCTAAGAGGGTAAAAAATGAGTAAAACAATCCATTGAATAAGGCTGGAGAAGGGAAGGGTCACTTAAAGGAGAAAACACAAAATTATATGGCATAAATACATTCAAATATGCCAATAATAGATGAAAATGGGCTAAATTCATTAAAAGATGGGCTAGATTATAAAGAAAAAATCTAGCTATACACTTTTTACAAGAGAAACTCCTAAAAAATTAAAAAGAGCAAAATGAGCTACAATTTCCTACAATAATTACAGTAACATAAATTATGTTCAACAGTTCAGTATGATAAGAACTGAAATGTATGGGATAGAATTAGCAGCAAAGTGATCCCTGGTGACCTTGACAAGAATATTTTCAGTAGTGCAGTGACAGCCAAAGTCAGTCTGCACTGAGATGAACAGTGAGTGAAAGGGGGAAAAGTGGCAAAGAAGAGGAGGTAGCTGAAGAAGCAAGTGGAGAGAACACATTTTCAGTAAGGGGGAAAGGTTACTTATCATTGAGTGAGGCTGAAGAAGTCAGAAGAAATGGTGAAGTAGAAGAAATGGGGGAGACAGGAAAAAATATTCCTGGGGAAGGGAGAAGACCTAAGATGGTGATACCCAGAGCACCATGGGAATATTAGCAGCAAACAAGAAGAAAACACTATTTTCTTTTATTTCTAATTTATTAATTTGGCATTACACAAACAATACATGAATGCATATTCCAAAACATCAAACATTACATTTAAAGCTAATGCATACCACCAAACTACTGTTAACAGTTTGGTTAGTATCTTCCAGACCTTCTTTCTATATTTATGTGGTACATGAATATGTACTTGTAGAAGTATACTATACAGTATTTGTGTGTGCATGTGTGTGGCACATATTTTAACATCAATGGTATCATATGTATTACAGGTATTGCCCTTCAATCCCCCCAACCTTTTACAAACATTGTATCCTAGACATCGTTCCATTTCTGCACATGTAGGACTCATGGGTTTTCATTGATACTTAATATTTTATAATGTATATCACATCTTTTTGATGAGTATTTTGTTTTTCCAATTTTATACTATAACAAGCAAAGGTACAAATGACATTATTGTACAAGCTACCTTGTGAATTCACATGTGTTTCCTTAGGGTATATATTAAAAATTGGAATTGTTGGGTCACAGGTGTATGAATTTTAAATTTTAATGGATATTACCCAGTTGCTTTTAAAAGCGGTGGTGCCTACTTGTGCACTCACCAACAATGTATATATATGCCAATTGGATCTGCTGGTTTCTTGGGTTTTCATGTTTTCCTTATTTTGCTAAGGTTCAGCATCTCTTCATAACCTATTGTAAAACTTTTGTTTATGAAAGCATTTTCATAGCTTTCAATTTCTAAGAGTATGTGATCCAAAAGTAGATGATTCACTGGTAATTTAGCTGGAATTAATTTTTGTAAGAGATCTAAATTTATTTTTTCCTAAATGTTATGCTCTCAATACTATTTGTTGACTAATTCTTTCCCTATTGAAGTGTCATGTTTATCATCACTCAATATTTATTTCTCAGTTCTATCAGAGACTTATTTTTGGCATTAGGCACCGGAGTGACTCTTAACTTGGTTCACTGAATGGTAGCTGATTTTATCAGTCAAGATGAATGTGTTGCTTATGATACAATAGATAATTTATAACACACAAATTCTAGTCTAGATTCAAATCAGTTCCATTATCTATAAACTTAAGAGTATGAAAAAATGTGTAAACTTCTCTCAGATTGGTTTCTTTTTTACGGGACACCTTACAGGCTCAAGGTAGAGAACATTTTTGGCAGTTCCCGTTTCTACAAATGTTATTTGATGCTAAAGCTTTTTGGTGATTTAAAGTTGTCTCTGGGCAACTGCAAAAAGTTTCACATGACATGGCAATATCACTGTTGATTTACATGAACCTCTAATTTAACAAATGATATGAGGTCCACAAACTATGACATTTACTCTGAATAAATAATACGGCACTTCAGTTTTTACTTTGACACTGAACTATGAACTCCTGGAGGGCACAAATCATACCCCAGTCAACTTTCTGTCCCCTAACAGACATAGTACAGGGTGCAGCACCTAGACTGAAATAGAATTGAATTGTATTTCAACATTTCCATAAAATAAAAAAATAAACCCAAATTTCTCCAAAACTTCATTTGCCACTTTGTAGAATTTTATTTTTCTGTGTAATCTGCTATTTGATCAAGTGATAGATATTTGTATATTTTAAAGTAGGAAAACTGGAACTAGACACTGACCTGATATTACGTAGTGCTGTAGAGTGGGAAAGGACTTCCTCAGGTTTGATCTATCTATAGATGAGTTGCTTGCCTGTGCAATGATAGCAAGAAGTATGATACGGAAAACACTTTTGTACTGGGCAAGAGTATTTTACAGTTGTTACACGAAAATACTGCAGGTATGCAAAAGATTGAAATGAAAAGACATCAACTTTGTGCATGGGAAAGCTGAAGAATGGCATTTTCCTTGCTTTAAAATTGTTATTTTTCTAAGTCAGCACACCTTTTCCATTCCCTCTTTCAAAGGGGGTAACTATGGCTTAGTCTGTAAACTTAATCTGGTTCTGCGACATTAGGTTATGGGAAAATTCCTCAAACTGGCTAATTTCTTGTATAGTGCTTCCCTTTAGCATTTTAATCTCTGAAAATAGCATGTCATACCTATTTTACCCCACTAGGGAAACGGTGACATAGCACTTAATCCTACCACGTACAAAGGGAATGCATGTATACAGATCTTGGTATAGACATTCTGTGCCTTATTATAGAAATATGAGAGACAGGGATGTATTAAGGAATTTCAAAACAGGGTAAATAGATACAAACATAAGCCACAAAATAATGAACAATTACTATTGCTAGAAAACGGAGATTATTATGAAGCTTGAGGTATGAAGTGGGAGAAAAGGTCCAGTTTTGCATAAGCAAATTTTATTCTGAAGAAAGAAGTTGCTGGATTGACCTATGTCAAAGAATGAAAAGCTGAAGCTGAGAACAAACTATTCTGACGGGAACTTGCAGTGGGGCCAGTATTGTATTACCCTTTGCAGGATGCAAGGTACAGCTTTTAAGGAAAACTTTTGAAATCATGGTAATTGTTGTTACTATAAAAGGATTAAAGTTTACTTTTAGGGCTGAATTTACAAAGGCATAAAGTGACCAAGGCTTCTTGATTTCCTCCATCCTTTAGTTAAATTCTTGTAATTCCTTTAACAGGAAAAAAGACTTTTCAGTTTCAGATACATGACTTTTAGACATAAAAGGCAACTCAAGCTTTCATGTACAAGAGTTGAGGTTTCTTAATTTTTTTTGACAGGTCAAGAAAACAGGGCATCTGATATTGGGAATGGAACATTTATTGAAAAATGGTACAGATAGACCCAAGACAAACTTCACGTGCTTCACAAAATTGACTAACTTTGCCTTTTCTGGATTACTGTCATCTAGTCTAAATTACTTCTGATTCGTTTCAGCCCTTCAATCTACTTCCCATCTGCCACTACAATTGAGCACAATATCCCATTACTTAAGATCATAAATCATTCTTGCTGAGGTGAGGCATTGTCTGTGTCCTGTGCAATTGTGGCTGTTTTAATGAGCCTTGTTTATGCCCTCCTTCGAGTTTTCCAGTGCTGTTTTCTTTGTACTTGGAATGCTCTTCCCATTGGCTTGTTATAACCTTCAAGACACAGATGTCACCTTTTCAGATAGCTGCCCCACAAAGCTCTCCTGGACTGTATTTCCTGCTGCATTATATTAGTTGGCTTTTGTATATCCTTAAACTGCATCCTTAGATTGGACTTTGTCACTTTAACAGGATTTCTGAAGAGAACTGAGTCATGCCACAAAGAACCTGCTAGATAGCTTCATTTAAATTTAAAGTGACTTTAATTCTTAATTCTTCCAACTCCTTACATTTTTGTTTTTTGGGGTATGGCAAGCTGAAAAGATTACATATACTGGAACTACCTAAAATGAATTTTCTTAAAACCTAGGTTTAAAAATTGTACACATATTACAGTATCAGAAAACTGTACCTATGTCTACCTGTGATTTTCTGGTTAGCTAAAATAAACCAACAGCAACCTTATGTAGCACCTTGGACTACAGGAATTGCACTGAGAAAATTAGATAACATTCAAGACTGCCCCCACATTGGGATTTCAGTTAATATTCTATTTGAAGCAACAGACTCTAAAACTCCAAGATATAATGGAAATTAAGACCTTGAAAGGACTAATCCATTGGGGGAATGTTTAACATTTCCAAATACAAACATAACAGCTTTTCCACCTTTGTTCCTGACTTTGGAGTGCTGGGTGTGCCTCATGAGTCTAGGCTTGGATGTAACTACTTCTTTCCAAAGCTTTTCGGGGTGGGGGGTGGGGGATGGCAGATAAGGGGTATCTGAATTCTAGGGTAAGGAGAGGTTAAGCAGAGGACAAGCACAATTAACTCCGCATTTTTGGAACACGACACCATGAGCATAGTGTCATTAAACTGAAGTTTATTAGTAGTTAAGGCTTTAATATATATTGCCAAATTATTTTCTGGAGAACACAGGAAAACCTGCCTTACAACATTAAGCCCTCTATTTCAAAGACATAACAATTTGTTAAAAATATTAATTTGGATTTAAGTTACTAGAGATTAAACCCTTAGAAAGCACATTCAACTATTTTCTCTCCTTTTCTATTTTTAAAATATATAAGTAAAAGTAATTACAATTAGTTTAATCCTTGACAAATATTAATCTCTTCCTTGGTAACTATGTTTATGAAATGTTTTTCTAACCCCAGAATCAAATCTTATTTTCACAGAAATTATATCCCCTTTTTTTTGCTCTGCTGAGAATTAAATACAGGGTGGTCTTGTGCATGACAGGGAATATTCTACCATTGAGTCCTGCGACCCTTTTCTAATATTAGTTGTTGGGTTTTTTTTTGCATCAAGTATCACATTGGTAGGACTGGAAGGGTATACCTAGGAATCTGATATTACATCATTCCATCACAAAGTTTTGCATTGTTTCACCTATGGTGGCTCTAGAATCTCAACCCACATCCTAAGAGTTATTTAAGCCTATACTGTATATTTAGGTCTTTTAAATGTTTCTAATGTTATTAGAATTTTGTTCACTGGACAGTATATCCTGCAGCATAACTAGCATATAAAATATTTGGTAATCCAATGTACAACTCAATTTTATGACTTTTGTTTGTGGTTAACCTGATTAAGTTTTTACTTCAAATAGATAAAGAACACTTACCCTCTTTTACTCGGAGAGATAACTACTGTTTCTCATTAGCTCCTGATTAGCTAGCTGGCTAGATATAGCACATGTTAATTCTACAGGCACCTTTCTGAATTCAAGTAAAAGTTTTGGTAGACAAGGATTTCCTACTTATATCATTAACATAATATGAATATTGAGTATAAATATTGCTCACTATTCTTGCATTCTTTAAGTTATTTCACTTTAAAAATTTAAGGACTATCACTGTCATTAATAACATAGGTTTTCATTTAAGGAATATTTTGAACTGTGAAAATACAAATCTAGTCAGATTTTGAACACATATAGAGCCAAATATTTCAACAAAACTGCAGTTTAATTTCAGAAAATGTGTTAAAATATATTTATACATCAATTTCTGACATACACTTAATGTGTTAGTATACACAAAATGATGCTTTCTCTTGAAACTGTATTTATGAAATGTACATTTTAATTTAAATACTCAGTATACACTGCACTTAATCTGCATGTTGCATTTATTAAATACATTAAAATCTGCAATGTAACAAAACGTTTTCTGCATATGAAATTCAAAACACCATTTTAAATGAACAAAAGATGGCTCACTTCATTTTTGTTTTTATACAACTAGTGTATTGTACACTAGCTCAGCTCCACCATACTACCTGTTCGTTCTTTTTTATTTGACATTGTTCACAGACTAGTACATATTACAATAAGAGTGCTGGATAAAAACATGAGGTACGAAAGTGGTTCAAAGATTATAGGTCATGCAGATCATGCTAGACAGCAAAGAAAATTGTGACCAAGAAAAACACTAAATAAAAATACATAAAGAATGTGCATTATAAAAAAAAAAAAACAAAAAACCAAAACTCCATTACACAGCTTTGCTTCTTTGGTTACAAAGTAGGTTGAACAATTTCACAGCTTTTTATTCCCACTTGGAAAAAAAAAAGTCATACGAAATGTTGAAAAGCAGAGGAATCGTGGCAATTTCTCTATTAGAAAGTAGAAACAAATGAACAAGGTTTTCTTCATCAAAATAGCCCAATTATTTATTATATCACAATAACTGGTGACTACCTGTACAGCTGCACTACGTTATTCATACTTACACTATACAAAATTTACATTCAAGCTGGGTCTTTACTACTGAAAATAAATACCAAAGGTAAATTGCCATTAGTGTTAGAAATATGCCAGGATTCTTTTGTTCAATTATTGCCTAAACGTTTTATCAATTAAACACAATCCTGTCTTTTAATTCCTTTACTGATACTTATAATTATTCAAAAAATTAAAAGTTCTGTGACATTGTTCATGTACATTATGAAAATAGCAGCCCTGTAATAAATAAAACACAAATAAATGAAAACTTATGTAGGCAAATGTTACTGATATTGAAAGAAAAGTGGCTCTTTAGATGAACTGTTATTTATAATATGATGGGAAGAAGGCTCAAGGTAAATCCATGGGTAATAGGAAACATGGGAGAGCCACCAAAATGCTTAGAGACCCCACTCATGCGCATCAGGTAAAATGCAGACTTTGCTTGCTTTAATAAACCCCATCTATTATTCTCCTTGTGTACTGCTGACATAGAACTGGATGTCAACAGTGCTGCATGACATCTTGGAGGAAAAGCTCTTGTAGAATGATTGTCTAATACTGAAAAGGCCAAACACACAACCAAAGCATGGCTAACTTGCTTTCGTATAAAGTGGAGGAAAAGAACACCAGTGGCACACAAGGATAGATTGCTTTCTGTTTTTTTCCCTTAATGAGGCTTAAGAAAGCTTTATGCAGAGGAGACATTCGGCTGCTGTGGAGGTTGCGTTGGCTGTGGAGGCTGTGCTATCACTGCTTGCTGTTGAGAAGTGCTACCAGGATTGGCCTGTTGGGCTGGGAGTTGGGATAACTGATCATTGTTTGAAAGAGATTTTAACAGTGCATTTTCTCGTTCAAGTAAAGAGTTTCTTTCAACTAATTCTTTTATTTGTTCCTTTAGAACTTCCACTTCTTCTCTTACTGCATACATCAAATGGCTTTTCACCAGATCCTGTGAAAAAGAAAATTAGGAATGTCAAGAAGAATGAAAGGGAAAGGTGGAGCTACTTGATTCTAGTCTACTCTGTGCCTTATAAGCACAAGGTGTTTTATATTAGATTTCTGCTCTTGCTTTTAATGTTTCTGCTATATTCTGACTTATGGGAGATGGGTGGGAAAAATCTAGTTTCCACCTATAGCAGCAAGTCCAGAATTTTCAAAGTTTAAAATGATTTCCCCCAAAATATTTCCTCCCTAAATGGTCAATTATAAACCTAGAAGCTCCTAACATAGTGGTTGATGCCTGTAATCCTTGCTGCCAGTGGGGTGGGGGTTGGAGGAATCCAGAGTTCAAGACCAGCCTGGGCAATATAGCAAGATCCCAGTCTAAAAAGGTTAAACTTAGAATTAAAAATAATAAAAGCTTAAAAGGACATTTTTAGATTTTTACAGCTAGAGAACATAGCAGTGATACTCTAATATTCCAATGGAAAGGTCTCTGGTAATGAAATTAGTCATGGCTCGATTTTAGAGATAAAATGACCTGTAACTTCAACTTGAAAGTCTGATTTACTTTTTTCTCATAGTTTGAGAATGAAAGTCCTTATAGCTTATTTATACTTTAAATAACCTTAAGTCAGTATTTTATGTAATATGAACAAAATATTTTTAAGGGAACAAAAAAATTGACAGCAACAGGGAAACAAGAACTAGAAACAAGCCTAATGATTGGAGCTCAATGAGGCAACACTTGCAATGACCAGAGGATAGAGGATGTTGATGCTCCACTGAGAACATACTGCTTTAATCACATATGGCTACTCCAACAGGCCTGTATCAATGGCAATGCATAAAATGTGAGATATTCAAATGGGAAAAACACTCAAATGACACTTCCAGACTAAAAATTCTCAATGTTCTAGGAATCTCCGACTAAATCTCATCATCAAAAAATATAATCTGGTCAACTTTGTTTAAAGGAATTAGGCACTTGGTATTCAGAATTGATAAAAACAAAGTGCTTGGGCCAAGGATGTAGCTCAGTGGCGCCAGCACCTGCCTTGCAAACACAAGGTCCTGAGTTTGATACCAGGTACCAGAAAAAAAAAAAAGAAAAGTGCTTCATACCACCAACAATCTATGAAATGAGAGGACTATAAGCTTTTACTTACCATTGCTTGTTCTATTTTGTTGTCAATGGCTACACCACCTCCCCCAGATGCACTGGAAAAAATTAGAATATTTCATTAAGTTATTCTAAAAAACATTGAATCTGCCTTTCAACTCTTAAAAATATTGTAGAAAACATCTGTTTTACTTAAAAACAAATATGATAATTTAAAACAGCTTATTAAGTTATTCTCACAATTTCAGTATTCCGACCTCTAACTTTTAAAATGCAGGTTTTAGTAAATGGATGACTTCTAAAAATGTTTGTAGGTCTAACATTTATAATTTGCATAAAATGGACATATGTATGCTACTTTAAAAGTAAATCCCAATTTTACTCCGGTGTTCCTCCCTTAGTATTCTGAAAGGGATACATTTTGAATGACCAGCACTTTCTCATTTCTTTTTTTTTTTTGGTACCGGGGATTGAACTCGGGACCTTGCGCTTGTGAGGCAGGTGGTGGAACCACTGAGCTAATAAATACCCGGCCCCAACCCTCTCATTTCTTAAGCTTCATTAACCAACTATATATTTGATTTGCCTTTCATGTAGAAATCCTAGTGGTTATTTCATTAAAACTCAGATGATGACTTTCCTTTTACACATTTCATATTTTAACATCTTATAGAAATGGCTTCTAAAACTTTTGGCAGGGCTTATTAAGGGATTCAATATTTTGGGAGACGGACATACTTTAATTGTAGATTACTTGATGACAAAAATCATGTAATAAAGCTTTTGGCTTAGTTTTTCCTGAAAATAACTGAAAGTAGTCAATTCACTAAGTACATCCTAGATTTAAGTATCACCTTAGCATTTGTATATTATCAGAAAGTTTAATATATAATTGGTGGTTCATGTTTTCTCCCATGCACTGAGTAGTAAGAGTAAGTAAGCAAGAGTCTATATCCTCTTGTTGGTGCTTTTATAAATTCTGAAAAACAGAACTAGGTTTTTTAAAAAATTATTTTTGCAAAGGAAAACCTGATACCTTACTGTTTTAACAGAAGAAGACACTCAATGTTATATAAGAAATAGAAATATCCTGGTCAATGCAGTAGTGCCTTTTAGATTGTAACTAAATTTAAATAATTTCCTCCAAAAAAACCAAATAAGCTTGAATTTAGCATTTAAAATAAATCCAATTACAATCATATTATAGGAAAAAGCAAAACTCACAATATCAATGCAGCAGTGAGACAGGTTGTCTTTTCATGCTGTTCTTTTTAAATTTATCCCAGATGGCTCCCTCCCACACCTTTTCCTCCCAGATCTTACTATTATCACAAAAGATCACTTGAAACCTCAATGAGAAGACACAAGGCCAGATAAGAACATCCACTTCACAAGTTTAAATCAGTGAAGGGTAATGTAACTTGATTTCACATTTTAAGAAATCTCTTTTCATGAAAACTTATTTGTTTTTTTGTAGCAACTTCATAGCTACTTGTCTAAATTAAGAACAGTCCAAATGTCTTTTCCTTTTCCCAGTGGACATATTTTGACTACTTTGTCTTCTGTCCTCCCCCCTATAAAAATGCCAATTAACAAAGCAACAAAGTTGAGGAAAATATAAATGAATGTCCACTTTATGGCAGACACACACTATGCTCCTGAGAACACAGGCCTGAAGAACATTCTCATTTTACAAATGAACAAACTGAGGCCAATACCAAGAACAAGATTCTTACCCAGACCTAACATGAAAACACACACCTTTTCTTCCGTAACAGTAAGAATGTGGAAAAAAATCAACTACAGTATGTATTATGACCTAAAATAAATACTGAGTTGTACAAATGATGAAGAGTGCTTTAAGCATTAAATGTCAGTTGTGAAACCATAAATACGGATCCAAAGATTAAAACCATGTTCATAACATGCCATTTATCTTATCTAGCACATTCCCAAAAGAAGTTCAGCTCTGAGAATATGGGAGTCAACTTCTTAGAAAAAGCACTTGTTCAGTGATCTTTGAACAGTATACAGTCAGTATAATCTGCCTATTTGGCAAGAACTAGTTTGTTAGAAAGCTAAAGATATCTTAAAATTGTATGTATCTCTAAGTAGAAAACTAAAAAAAAAATTACATTGTTTTACTCAAAGACCCTTCTAATGTTTCCAGTTAATCATCTACAATCTTCATTCCCTAATTCCCCAAATAAGAGATAATATTTTGCCTATTCTCTAGGAAATACATTTTTTTTTTTTAGGAACAAAGTCTCACTGTAGTTCAGGCTAGCCTTAAATTCATGGTGATACTCCTGCTTCAGCCTTCTAAGTGCCTGGACCACCAGTGTGCACCACCATACCTAGGCTTGTTTGACTTTTAGAGCATAAATTAAGACACTAAGTTGCTGATTACAAGTAAATCCAATAAATCTACAGTTTAGCAAGCCTATAAAGGTTAAATACAGTAAGTCCCCAATTTACAAACAAGTTTCGTTAAGTCAGATTCATTTGTAATCCGATAAAGTGAGTTGTATCTTATACAGTACACCTGTGAAAGCTCGTGACTTGAATATTTTTAAGTTGGGGACTTACTGTGTAATTTTTAAAAAATTCACCACTCTTATGTAAGAGGGAACTAAAAAAATACAACTTAATACTACATTTAAGTGCAAATAACAATTCTCCTTTCAAAAGAGTCTAAAATCAATATAGAATTATCTTTGGCCAAATGCAAACCTCTATAGTTAATAAAATATTAGATGAAGTTAACAGTAAATTAGGCTAAGAACTAAAAATTTTATGTATTCTGATTACTGACCATAAACTCTACTAATGTACAACAAATAACCTTCTAAATTTCATAACCAAAGAACCCCACAAAAATGCCCCATGAAGATTAGTAGTAACATAAGTGATTTAAAAGCTGTCACTCAAACCAAGCAGGTTTAAAGAAACCAGTCTTACAAGGGTGTGACTAAAGCTTTAAGAAAATATTAAAAGCTAAACTAAATTATGTAATGTTTGGTATTTGCATCTTTCACAAAAACTTTGTTCACCAATACCCTTATATATTTTATATTCATATTATTAATTTAAGTCAAATTCCTGGCCAGAAAAAATAAAAGTTTAGAAAGGAAAAAGGGTACATGTGGACTGTACTATAATGTCAACTTCCTGGTTAACAGTGTATGCATCATGTAATTATGTTTTCTTGTTGGGGAAATTAGATGAAGAGTGCACAGGCTGTTTCTTGTGAACCTACAATTATTTCAAAATAGAATGCTTATTAAAAAGATTGATATGGTAAAAAATTCAGAGTATTTGTAGAAATGTATGCAATCGGTGCAAAGTTCCTTTCCTACCTCAGACTTACCCTTTTGTCCAAAGTTGACTATACTGTTTTGTATGAAAGGAATTTTTAAAAACCCCATAAGAATAATAATTTCATTATTAAAGTGGGAAAGGCTTATCTGTTAACTATACTCCTGAAAATTTAGAAAAATCAAAAACTTCTTGAATAATCCCCTAAAATATAAAGTATTTCTGGAAGTTGGTAAGGCCAGAAGCCCAAAAGAAAAATGAGAATTCACACTGATGGTTCATAAGGCATAAATAAAATATTTTAATCATAATAAAAATACAGATTAAATCTATATATAATACCATTTTCCAACACAGATGCCTTTCCCTCCCTTTCTATATCTATTTATCTATACTGGTGTTTTTTTTTTTTTTTGGAAACAGCATCTCCCTAAGTGCCAAACTGCCTAGGCTGGGTTCAAATTTGTGATCCCCCTGCTTCAATCTCCTAGAGTGCTGGGATTACAGGTATACACCACTGCACCTGTCTTTATTTACTCTTTGAACCATCAATCCTATACCTGAATTTATTCTATAGATATGTATATATGTGGGAAAGTTATTACTCATTACAGCACTGTTTTTAACACCAAGGCTTCTATCAACAGGGAACTGGTTAAATGAATGGTGGTATAGCTGTCCATTCAATTGAAATATATATCTATAAAAAACTATGAAGATCCTTTTTTATGTATTGAGATAGGAACAGTGTATAAAAAATAATGTATATCGTATTTGCTTGTGTATGTACATAACTAAACTGTGAAAGAATACACACACAAACTAAGAATGTGGTTATATGGGAAGATAGGCAAATGCAGGACAGAAATGGAAGCAAGATTTCATGGTACAACTGAAAAATACTATGGTGAATGTTAATTTTCTTAAAAAAACTGTATTATAATAAAAGACACATTGCCATTAATCCTCTTCAAAATACTTGCCCTTGCTTTAAACTTATCCCATTGTTCTTTCCACTTTCTGAAGCAGTTCTAAGTTCTCTTTTGTGTCTTTAGGTGAGTTGTTGTGGCTGCCTCAATATTCTGAACCGATTAAAAACATTTACCTTTCACAGTCATTTTGGCTTTAGGAAAGAGCTAGAAATCACATGGTGTCAGATCTGATGAATAAGGTGGATGAGGGCACATAGAAATGTGTTTACGGCCCTGACTTCCATGCTTTTTTTTTTGAAGCAAAACATTTATTGGTACATTTTAGATATACATAATAATAACATTCATCATAGGGAATTTGGACCTGTACATGATACACTTTGCTTCTTTTTTTCCCATTTTCTCCCTCCCTTCAACCCCTCTTCCCCTCATTTACAAAAATTGTTTCCATGTTTTTCTTCTATTCTCTTTTTTTCTTGTCTTGTCTTTTCTTCCCTCCTCCCCCCTCCTTTGTCCTCCTCATTTGAACATTTCTTCCATTTTCCCAATATCAATTACACATTTTGGTCCTTACTTCCACTTTTGGTTTCTCACATCCGAGAAACAACGTGGTATTTAAACATTTGTGTCCCGTTTATCTCACTTAAAGAGTATGGTCTCTGTTGGTTGGCACTTGGTAGCAGCATTAACTGTGTTTATAACAACATGTAAACAGGCACTCATTAAAGAGGATTTTCAGAACTGTTTCAGAGAGTAACAAGAATGAGAGTATGTGTATTAAAAGTGACGGAGAGTATTCTGAAGGGGATTAATGACAAAGTGTCTTAATGTAATAATTAAAACATTTT